TGGACTCAGTGCTGCTCTCTGTTCAGAGAGGCTCTGCTGACCTCCTATAATAGTCCAGATCCAATCATACCTAGAATGACTCTACATATTTCAAATGGAAAGAATTTAATACAGGGAACTAGTGACTCAAGTGAGGGAAGAACTGAGAAGCCAAGTCAACAATGGTGACGACATCCCAAGAGCAGCAGGAAGCTACTACCATCCATAGGGACTGGTAGGATAGGTGAGGCCACCAGAATCCATACATAGAACCACCACTGAAGCATATCCAAAATGATAATACATCTCTCCCACCCATCCAACCAAAAAAGTTTCATCTAGTTTCTACAATGTTCAGGTTTCTCACCTTTTCCACCTTCTTCCTAAATTCAGTCTTTGTAACCAATGTCACCCCATTTAATAAAAGCAATAAGCAAAAAAATTAAAATAAAAAATAACCTCAGCCTGCCAACCACCAGGTAGTACACATGAGAACAAAATGAATATTCATTCAGATGTACACTTGAAAACCATGCCTTTTATATCAATCAGGTTAAAATCAAGGCCTCCTATAGCATCTGATACCCTACTCAGCTTTCTGATCTCATTGCCTACTATCTCCCTCAATGTCTATATTCCAGCTCCAATGGCCTCCTTGTTGTCCCTGGAATATCCAAAGTACTGATAAAAACTGAGAAATAAAATAAAAATTAAAAATTTTAAAATTTTAAGTAAAAAAAACAACTGATAGGGACTTTGCACTTACTATTTCCTTAGCCTAAACACACCTCTTTCTGAAATCCACCTAATTTGGCCCCTCACCTACGTCCATGTCTGCTCACAACCTTTGTAACTAAACGCCCCATCTAAAACAGTACTACCGCCCTTCATCATCCTTACTCCCGTTTCTGTATTTTTCTTCATAGTACTTATCACTATCTAACACATTACATATTGATATGTTCTTTTTGTTTACTGGAGGTCTCTGCTGACTAGAATACAGTCTCCATAGGACCAGAGACCTTTTTGGTTTTAGACAATCTCCAGAGACTAGTGCAGAATCTGGCACAGAGTAGGTATTTGTTATTTGATTATTAGGCAAAATAACAAATAGTTTAAATGTTATCATCCTCAAATTTCTACCCATGATAATTTGCTAGTCAGCAAAAAACAAAACAAACAAACAAGAAAAACTATTTCTAGTCACTCCTTTGTAGATGTTGCGATTGATAATTCATATTTATTGTGGGTTTAGACTAAAGTTTGTAATGTGTGAACGTGAATTTTGTAAAACCCACAATGTTCCATATATATGAATGTAATCCGTGTTCTTCAAAGGAGTCAGTATGCTCAAACTTAGTTTGGATCTCCTGTTTTGGCATGTCATTGAAACAAGATAGGGTGTTTACTTTTTTGCAACAACCAAAAGCCAGTCACAGATGTAAATAGTGTAAGGTGGATGCCATAGCTGTTCCAAAATGTGCTGTCATTATAAAATAACAACATCATTATTATTTAGTAAGTCATCATTTGGCTTACTAACCCCATTTGGAGTTCCCCCAAATGGAACAAAACCCACTTTAAATAATTCACTCATATTCTGTTTTAATCTTTTCATAAACAATCAGCTAGATGAAGTATCACTTTAATACAGTGATATTGAAATAAATAGAGATAGAGTTATCACCTCTTTTGGGGACCACTCTTTAACTAAAGCTCTATCTAAGAGCTTTACTATAAATATCAATGTATTAGGTGATCAAGGCAAATCCATGATATTATATGGCCCTGTTTTCCCACTTTGAATTCTCAAATTTAACCATATCTTCTGATTATAGCAAGATTTTCCAGTAGACAATACAAGAATTGATACCCAAGATTCAAGAAAAAGCTATTATGAGCCCTTTGGTGCATTTTTATCCAGTTATTGTCAATACACTAATTATTGCAGCACAAATTTTTTCAATGGATTACATGTGGATATTAGGTATATAATGCTTTTGTAGTACAACTCAAACCTCTCTAGGGTAAGCTGCTATTTAGACAACTAAAATAATCAAAGATGTAACATTATCTAAAACATTACTCAAAAATAATATCATCTAAGGAAGAAAGCAACAAGATATTTTGAACAGTTAGATCAAGTCAATAGGCAATCTGTGACCATATATTTGACATTGGAAAGCATGGTTGATTCTAGAAGAACAACAAAATATTAATTCAATTCAAAGATAAATCTACTCAGGTAGTTCACTCCACTCCCTCTACCATCATCATTTCAAGGAAAAACCTTAATTGTTTAAGAGGTTTGAAGAGTCTTTTAAACTTTAATAAGTCTTTCACACACTTAGGAGATGCAACTATAGGCCTGGATAAAACAAAAAGCTAAACAACAAATACAAAACTTTGATGATGCTGAGCTATATAGCTCCTTCATTTGCTGGGTGTAGTTGATTAGTCTTAGAAAAGTCATGCATATGACCTGTTTGTTAGACCTGCTCAGGTAGAACATATTTGAGGGAAGAAAAAGTCACTGTTAAACATCTGTAAGTAACTTTTAGAAAGTAAAACTCTGATATTCAAGTTCTTAAGCACCTCTTTGATATTTCCTATAACTACTGCTCTTAATACTGAGTTTTAATCAATTCTTTCAGAATAAAAACCAGTGATCCTTGATCTCAGGAGTAATGTTCCCATTTCTCCTTCCATAATTGTAATTCCACTGTTTTAAGAGAGCTAAACAACTTTTTGAATTAAACTGCCAGATAGTGGCACAGTTATTTAGGGGTTCTCTGCATGAATGCTTGACATTTTTTTCCAAATCAACAAATTTAAAGTCAACAACCAAGAACGTCTCTATTAATTGAAAAGCATCTATCTGGAACTGAACTCTGAATAAAATGATCTTGTTTCTCCCTCAGTGGCACAGTACATAAAGTAAGAGGATAAATTAAAACTATTAAGTGTTCCTAATAGAGATTAAAATAAATGAGATAATTTCTTTTAATGAGCTACTGACAACAGCAAACAACTTTATGAAGAAACTCAGTAACAATAATTAGTAACCAGCCATCATGGAGTTTCTGCTTACCCTGATGAACTGAATTATATCTTCACTGTGCTCGTTTCCCCTCAGATGTAGAATCCTATCAATTACCATTCATTACTGAAGTGAATCCTTACTATATTGAAGTCTGAACCAGAAAAGAATTTCACTCGTTTATTTGTCAAAGGGTACAAAACAATTATGATTATATCAAGTAGTTGTCATGAGAATCACTGTTTCCATACTATACCTGTGTTTTTCTATCACTGTACTACCATGAACTGTTGAATATTATAACATGAACCATATCTATTTAAGCCTGGTTTTTCCTGATTCCAAATAGGTCAATACTGCTCAAAGATCTTTCGATTAATTTCTTTGTTTGCCCATGAGATCCTATACTGCATATTTCTCCATTTTCTTCAAGTCCCCAATTCCAAGCCGGCTGCCCTTTCTATAGACAAAGAATTTTATACTATCATTTTTTAACTGTATGATATAAGCTCTTTCAACTGTTCTCCCTAAAATATTTCTCTCTTTTATGCAGTATCTTGTTCTTTCCTATTTTTACAAAAATTAGTTCCTCCTTTGCAATGTTAACTTCTCAATCTGTGCTTACAAATCCATTCCTTCTACTCCCCAGTTTCCATCCCCTCTCCTCCACGGGCTCTCCTCCTCCTTCCAGCACCGTAAGTCTTCCCTTGATTCTAACTGATCCAACTAGCAAGTCATTAATACTGTTTTCATTATCATGCTCCAAATTCTTTAGAGGTTTCCTAAGTTATTCTAATATCTTGTCTAGGCATTCCAGATCTTCACCAAGCTGACCCTAAATGCCTTTTCTGTACTGTTCCCTAGAACAAAATCTTTGCTTCTGCTAGGCTGATTGACTTACCCTTCTTAAATATGATTGAATCATGATCTTCCTAGATTTTTAACAATGCTGACAATTTCATGTAAATAACCTACTTCTTCCCTCATTTCCCTGATTTTCAAGGTTCGGCTCACATTCTATCTTCTCTGTGAAGCTCCTCTTATAACCCTGGACTACATTTTCTGATTCCCTGTAGTTTAACCAACTCCTGGTTTAGCACTCAGTTACAAAGTATCTTTATTTACATCTGCATCCATGTTTATGCCTGCATCCTTTCCTTTGAGTAACCAACGTAAACAGTCAAGTGACTATAAGAATGAATAATGTTTCTTTTATTTACTCATAACTCTTAATGTAACCTCCCAGATAATAAAATTTATTGAATGAGTAAAATATCACCACTAATACACCCACTATTAAAAATGACCACTATTCCACAGATGTAGTGGAGTGGATACCACAGGAAAGGTCATGCAAGTGCCGATTATTTTGAGCATAAAACCAACCACTAATTTTGAAATCATACTGTCTAAAAAATAATAAAATAAAAGTTTCATTTTCCCACTATTGCCAGTACATCTGACAAGTAGGCGGAAACCTGTGATTTGCAAACACAGTGAATAATACATTATTAAAAATTACCACATTTTCTAGAATTTTATGTAATATACTTTCTGGGAGTGAGGACTTGGGCTTTTTTCATTAACCATGATTATTCTGAGATTAATCCATTTTGCTACATATATCTATAGTTTGTTCATTAGTATTATTCCATTGTATGAATATATCACAATTGTTTTTTATCCAGTCAGCTGTTAGTAGATATTTGGGTTGTTTCCAGTTTTTGACTATTATAAATAAAGCTGCTGTGAAGATTTGAAAAAATAATTACTAATATCCAAGATATTCCAATTCTAAAATGCATCTTATAAGAAGAAAACATAAATGTTAAAACTGTACAAGCAAAGAAAGAAAACAAACAATAGCTTGAGAGCATACATACATTTCTATACATGCTGGTAATTCCACTACTTAAACAAAAATTATTGTATGTTCCATTATTTTCAAAGTATATATCTTAAAACTTTATGTTCTACATACCTGTCCAGTCTCCTACTACTTTAAGGTGGACCCCGAATGTTGCTTTGGATTCAGTAGGACACTAAAAACATAAATGGACACCAGAATCAATTCTGAATAATAATTGTGTATTACCAGGTATGATTGAATTACAACTTTTATTCTCATAGCAAATCCCCCAAATTAATAGAGAATAGAAAGCAATGGACTAAAAAGTATTTAGATCCTCATTAGTGGGAGAAAAAAGCAATGTTTAACTAGTCAATATGACAACATAAATTTCTCTAAAAACCCATAACTATTTCTATAAAACAATATAATATAGTCTAAAACTGCTAGTATATTATGTCTAACTACACATTTTGCTTAAATATCTTTTGAGTTAAAATATTTAGAAGGTGACAGCTTTTAACTACAAAGGCAGATATGTACACTAATAATGCCAGTGTCTTTTTTTCTCCAGATATTATTATATACTTCACATTCTAACAAATTCCAGGAAAAAGAAAAATATAATTTTTAATGTGACTTAAATATTTCACATCCAATGAGGAAACTGATACTGAAAGCATTCTATTTCATTCCTTCCTTTAATTCTCAGATCTCTGGAGTGAACTGGCAGGGGATTCAGGGGAGGGGAGTGAGTTGTGGTACCGAAGGTAAGAAAAAGTATCTGTGGCCCATGTTTAGAAAATCTGGAAAACACCCATATAATAAAAATTTCTTAGTTCACAATAAGAAAATGCAGAATCTCCTTTTATTTTCCAGAATCCCAATCCCTTATCCACAATTCCAAAATTCGAAAGTTCTGAAAAATTAGATTTTTAATAACTTGTGGTGATAATATCTGACTTGAATTGATAGGTGGGTAATGATGGGAGGCTAATACTTCTGTAAAAAATTCACAGAGAAGTATTTCTCTACAGAAATATCAATTTGTTTAAGAATGCTACCTCACATCCTTCTAGAGATCTTATATAATATAGGGACTAGGCATACCTTTTAAAATCCATCATATTCTGAATCCTAAAAATACATCTAACCTAAGGGTTATAGATAAGGGATCATCTGCCTGTGACTTCCCAGTGTTCACTGAGTGCCAAAGACAGTACTAAGTGCTTCATTTCTAAAGTCTCACAATAACCCTGGAGAGTTGTCTTTTATAGTTAAGGAAACTGAGTAATTGAGAATTAAAACATTAACTTGCCCTAGATCATATAATTAGTAAAAACACAAGGCCGAATTTGGATCCAGGCCTGTCTGACTACATAGTTCTTAACTGTGAAGGCCTCTGTCTCCTCTAAAGTAAAAATATAGCAAGTGGGTAAGGGTTGCATGAGAAATCAAACGATGTAGGTGGAAAGGTCATATTGGTTGAAGATTAGTAGAATCAATGTGCAACAATAGGAATTAGGGGAAATATGGGCTGAAATTAAAGCACAGATGCAAGAAAATGGCAGTGGTTCTGAAGGAGAGAGAATGGGTTACATAAGACATGTCTAAGATCCTCAAGCTCATTGTGGTGAGCAACTAGTACAGGTCACGTAGGCTGTTATGAGGAGAAGAAGTGAAGAATGATGAGGATACCACGGAGATATGTAAACGACTCATCAGTCGAAGAAAGGGAACTTTGAAATCAGTGAAAAAACTAAATTTAAAGGTAAGTGTTAATCATTTGTTCATGCCAAATCACAAACAAACTAAAAAGCACATGATCTAATACTTCTGCAGAGTTAGGAATTCATGTAACATGGATTTCCAAACCACTGTTCTGCAATTAGTGTTTCTAATAGAATTATTACTGCTTACAGTAATATGAAATATTAAAATAAATCAAAATAGATACAATATTATTTAAATGTTATATATACTTTTAAAATACTTCATCTATAATTATGATTCTAATATTTAATTATTTCATTTAAATTCTGATTTTTAATAACTCTGAGATCAATCAGTTTTGTCATTAGTAAATCTCCAAATAAAATGATGTGATCTGTAAAAACCACCCACCATTTTTACTTCATACTGCTCATGGCTGGCCAGAACCTCTATGCAGTAAAAGTATTAGTTTGCAGAAAGCTGGAATCCCAACAGCATTCCAAGCTACTAATCCTATTGTCCACATGTTGCTTGATGTTTCACTCACTGTTAGGTTACGAAAGGATCTAAGCCAAGAAGACAGACTAGGGAGTAAAAAGGTTTGTCTTTGTGTGACTAAGTGTGCATCTAGCTTGCCTTAATCTCATAAAGTATTCTAAAAGAAAACATACATTTTTGCCAGGTATTCAAACCCCTGTTCTATTCTTTCAGCACAGACACTGTAGAAGATAATTACATGTGATGATAACATCTCCTCAGGTCTGGTAGGAGCCTATGAAGCTTCCTCTTCTAAGAGCTGGCCAAATGCATTAGAATAGCCTTTTAGGCTGATCTGCTTTTGAAAAGGTAAAACACAATGTTGTTCCTCTCAAATTCTTGGGAATGATGCCTTTAGAAATTACTGATACTTCCTCAAATGAGTTAGGAATTAAAAAGACAGATTTTAAGATAGTCTCTGGCCAATATATAGCCTCCAAATTGAAGGGGGCCTGCACAGAGTAACTCGCAGAAGGGCTTCGGCACGTGTGGTTTGAAACAATGACTGAAGATCTAAGAGTCACATTTTAGTAACTTTGCCAAAATAATGTTCATATTCACTAATGTTGTTTAAAGCAGAGTGTAGTGATTCTTTAATGCTTTTTTACTATCTTTTTAAGAGTATTTTGAAAAAAAAGGGAAGAAATAATAAAGTATTGATATTTACGGCTATCTTATTTCTCCCAGAACATTAAATATATGCTTATGCCAGTTTTTCAGTTTAAAAAGTTACAACATAATATGTGTAGTTAAGTTCACATTATTAAAATAAAAACAGATATTGGTGTTTCTTTTCTCTATACATAGAAATATGTTGAAGAGAATATATAATACTCTATTACTCAACACTAACTTCTGGGAAATTAAAGACAGAAAATGAGAACTCATTTCATACACACCTATTTTATAAAAGGTATTATTAGCTTTTATAATGCTTCTAAATTTAAATGTTTTAATTGTTAAATTTAAAATTAAACATTGAAACATTGCTGAGTCTTTCTTTAGTCTCACATAAGTTACCTAGATGAAGAGAATGAAGTTTGGCTCATGTAGACCTTAATATAAGTACCAGAATACACATCACCTAGCTTCCTTTATTTTAAGGAAAATAAAGTGACAGAATTTGTAACAACAGATCTGAGAAAATGTGTACTTTGCTGTCCTGGAGAGAAAAAAACTTTTCCTTCAAATTATTTGTTCAGTATGGTGTTGGGATTTTAATGTGCCCAAAAGACTAATGATTTTATAACAGTCTCACAAAAATATAAACAGATATTATGTAATTATCTTACATTTGGGAACTAAATGTAAAAATGATGTCACTGCACAAGGATTTACTCAACATGGAAGAGAAATTTAAAAGCCACAGTGTGTTTGTTTTTAAATTTATTAAACCAGAGAAAATGATCACAGAACATAATGTTCTTTAATCATTATTGTCAGGATTTATTGTTAGCTCTTTCTTCCAAAGATCTAGTTTCACATTTTCTATTCCTGCTAAACATTCCCACCAGAAATTCACTCTAAATGTAATATCGTTGCTGTAATAATTAATATGTAATGTGAAATGTAATGATGCTGCTGTCTTACTTCCCAAGTTATGATCTCCTCCTCATTCCCTGACATGGAACCTATAAATCCTTCAGAGCAGAGGCTCAAATCTGAGTAATATCAGGTATTTCTCTTTCTGCCAGCACTCAATCAAGCTTCAAGTCCTTTCAAATAATCTCACCAAAGAAAGGGTCTGACCGCAGCAATCACCTACGTTGAGCCTTGTGTGCTCCCCCTATGGACATCACCCACATACTTTCTTTCCTACATGGCCAACCACCTCTGTTCCAAATTCTTTCCAACTTTATATTCCATGTTTCTCCTTGATCCACTCCAAAAGCCCACCTAAACCAACACATATCAACTAAAACATTTTCTTATCCCTTCAATTCCCCACTTAATTAGTTTACCTTTAAAGAGATGATCGCCTTGAGAAACAAGCCTGTATTTCCCTCACTACAATGAGAAATCTTAGGTCTCAGAGGTAGAAGAAAGAAGCTGCATTTGGGCTCATGGCTTTAAAAATGAAGGATTGTCCATGTTTGTATATGGAATAACTGGACTCCCAGATTCACCTCACTCCAAGCACAAGCCAGGCAATTACTCCTCCACAAACCAAAGATAAGCAGAGGTGAGACAAAAAAGGCTCTTAATACAAGAATGACCAGTACAGTGGAAAGTAGAGCCAAGGTGACATTTGTTAGCTCAGCAAATATTTTTTAAAGGCACATTAAGTGCCATCTCAAATTCACCTCTCCAAAACCGAGCTCTAAATATTGTCATCAGAACCTGCTCTCCCCACAGCCTTCCCTATCTCGGTTAATGCACCTCCAGTTCCTCAGACCAAAAACTCTGGTGATAAGCTTGACCCTTCTGTTTCTTTCACATTCCATAATCAGTCTTTCAAGTATTCCTGTTAACTCTAACTTTAAAATATGTTAAGAATCTGAACTTCTCACCAGCTCTGCTCTGGGCCAACCCATCATCATACCTCAACTAGATGCACCGCAATACACAACAGTCTCCTAAGTGGTCTCCCTGCTTTTCCTCATCTGATATTAACATAGCAGCCAGGGCGATCCTGTCAAAAATTAAGCCAGACATGTAAGTCCTCTATCCAGAATCCTCCAATGGCTCCCTCCTCACTGAAAGTAAAAGCCAAATCCCTGTCCATGTCCTCTAAACCCCACATAATCTGACTCCTCAGGACTTCTCTGACATTATTCCATACCATCCTTCCTTTTTCTTAGTGTATTCCAGCCACACTGACCTCTTAACACCCCCCATTCACTCACTCACACACACACACACACACACACGTTCACACAGATGCAAGTCAAGATATATCAAAATTAACTAAGGTTGAAAACTACCAGGTTTTTGAACAGAGAAATGACACAGTCTGATTCGCATCTTAAAATAGTCATCCTGGATGCTCCTTAAGATGAACTGATAGGTGAGGAAGGGCAGACAGAGGGAGACCAGTTAGGAGGCTATCTCCAGATGGCAGTGGATTGGAGCAGGGTGGGTGCTGTAAAACTTGTGGACATATTTTGAAGGTAGAGCCAAGAAAAACTGTGGACAGATTGTTGACTACATTTTTTTGAAAGGATAAAAGTCAAGTTTGACAGCCAGGTTTTCAGCCTGAACAACTTGGACAACAAAGTTGGCACTAACTGAAGAGGGCTGGAAGACTAGGGTGGAAGAGGTTTGGAGGACCGAAGGTTAAGAGTTCAGTTTTAGACATGTTAACTTATGATTTTCCTTAGACATCCATGAGGAAGTTTTTGGTAGACAAGTGGGTATATGACCTTGAATTTCAGAGTTGGGGGCTGAGCTAGAAACATAAATTTGGAAGATGGCAGCGCACAGATACATTAATAAGATTGAGCAGGATCACCAGAGAAACAAACTTAGCTAGAGAGAAAAGGGGTTTCAAGAAATGGACACTGGAGTGTTCTGATATTTGGAGGTCATGAGAATGACAAGGAATGGCAAAAAGTTTTAAAAAAAGAGAGTCAGAAAATTAGGAGAAAAACCAGGTGAGTGCATGTCCTGGAAGCAAAATGAACAATGCATGTTAATAAAGCAAGTGATCGGCTGTGCCAAGGGCTCCTGAGAGGTCAAACCCATTAAGGACAAGGAAATGACCATTAGACTTAGCAATAACATGATCGTGTTGACCTTGGCAATGTTTTAGCAGATGCTGTGGGCAAACGGTGGTGGGTTTGAGAGAGAATGGGAGAAAAGGCACTGAAGAACTGAAACATGGGGGAGAGGCTGGAAAGAAATGTGAGTCAACAAAGAGCTTTTATCCATCATTTTCTCTTTGATAACTAGTTAAAAGGAGGCATCCAAAAATAACAATTGAATAAGTCGAGTTTAATACTAAACAACAGGTTCGCTTTGAATACACTGACCAATTGAAGTTCATATTTATCATGCAGGCTCTCATTATGCACTGAAGAAATATTCTTTTTCCTTGGAAAAGAGCCAAGCTAGAGCAATTAGGTGATATTTAACTTTCAGAGAATTCAGATGTCCCAATATATTTCATGAACATTACTGACCTTCTGCGGCAATTTCCACCACTGTGCATGGTCTATATAGTTAAGGGACTTTATTGCCTTGCTAATCTGTCATCCATCCCAGCTGAGTTTCTAAACTAAGCAAAAGATTTGTGAAACCCTAGAGAAAAGCAATTTTTAAGAATTAGATAGATGAAAGCAAGACCCAAGATCCAAACCACTAAAGCAGACTTCCTGCTTATATTTAAACCCATGAAATTAAATAAGTAACAACATTTTTTTTTTTTTTTCCAATCTTTAAGCGGTTCCTGGCCATTCTTGTCTGGTTTTCATTGAAAACTGGAAAGACTATTCCCAAAGTGACTGGGTTGAGAGATTAAAAACACAAAGCAGAAAAATGATGGCAAGTGAAGGCATGCTATGTTAAAGTACAGACAATAACAAACTAGCAGCTAAACTTGCCTCTGACTCATGGAAAAATATGTGAAATCAGGTTATCCAAGCTTAAAAGTAATGAATCACACAGCTCAGAATACAGATGTCAGGAAAGCACATGTGTACTTCTAAATTAAAATAATAAGGAAAGAATACAGAGATACTTATTTAAATTTCAATCAATTACTACCATAAAATAGTAGATTCTGTATTATTTCTTTGAGAATCCATGAAAAATATTAATGAGCATAATTAACATCTCCCTCAGTTAAATACTAAGAGAAGCTACCTTTTGTACTAAGCAGTAGGTTTCATGCTTTCTTAAGATCATATCTGACTTATACATCTAAATTAGATGAGAGCATACTTTAATAGATTTGTTTTGGTAGAAAAATCCAAACTTGGCAATTACAGAGCATAGCTGGAAAACACGTAGAAATCCACCACATAGTTGAAGAACAACATGTAAAATCTGATCCAGGTTTTCAGCCAATAAAGGCCCATCATTCATCCTAACGGCTAGTAAACCACAGGAGGCAAATAAATCATCAGTCCCCCGAATGACTGTTTCTAAACCCGTCTGTGGCCAGAGTTTAGTCAGTTACTTCATGCTGCAGAACCAGGCAAAAAAATTCAGTCTAATCCTGTCTTGTTTCTACACTCACTATCTGAAACAACCGCCACAACAGATGAAAATGGAAAGCACACAGCTAAGGTGACATGGAGAGTGATGACAACAATGGAGAGGTGTCAACAGATTTTGAAAGATGAAATGTGGATGAGACGCTGGATAACAACTTCTAACCTCCTGAGAACTTACCATATGCCAAGCACCATGATTGACACTTGATTCTATCTTTTTGATTCCTGTTCACAGTAACTCCATAGAAAAGTCACTGTTGTTTACCACATTTCATAAAGAAGCAAACCAAAGCTAAGTATGTTAATGATCCTGTTCAAGGATATAGTACTAATAAGTGGGGGATCCAGAACTCCAACCCGACTGTCTAGGATTCCAAAATCCAAGGCCTAATAATACACAATTACCTCTGATGTCCCTCAAATTTGGAGCAATGAAGCAAATTTTTTTTTCCTTCAAAGAATTTCTAGTTTATTCAAATAACTTGTTTTTCTTTCCTCTAACCACTTGACACTCCTTTTCTGTTTCTTTTATCCCTTAAATATAGATTTTTCTGCCCTAGCTCTCTTCACTAGTACATGTTCTCAAGAGGCACATCAAATTTATAGCGGTTCCAATCCTAGTAAGCCCAACCTGACATCTCAGCACTGGTGTCAAACCAGTTATTTATCTGCCTCTCCACCCCATAACTTGTTCAATTTTATTTGCATATCTTAAGCACTTATTTAAACATGTAGTCCCTGTTCTCCGTTACCTTTGTTAGAAACTAAGTAAAATCTTAATCCCCATCATCAATGGAGAATATTAAATAAATTGTAAAATATTATGCCCTCATTAAAAAATATGAGGCATAGAAAAATAAAGTAACATGAAAAGTTGCCTATAATATATTGTTGGGTGAAAAGAGAAAATTATAAAACAAATGATTCAGTAAACATGCCAAACACCTCTATATGCCATATTATATGGGAAAATGTCTGAAAGAATATATAACAAACTCTAGAGAAAATAACTGAGAAAGGGGAAAATGAGGAAAAGTTCCTATTTTATCTTATTGACTTGTGAATTACTTACTTTTTTATAATGGCTCATGCCATTTTTATAATGCATAAAATAATGTTCAATAATGTGCTAAAAATACTTGGTGATTCCATTATTTAGCTAGGTCCCCACTCCCCTCATTATTCCATTTTATTTTTATTTCCCTTTTTCTCCCCCGTATACAGCAAGGGTACTAATTACACTGGACTTTTTTCTTGTCTAAACTGCCTGGATTTTCTTATACTTCCACCTCAACTCAGAGTAGCCTCTTTTTCCTTAACTTCAACCTCTTTAAAGAAATCATGCACATATTATATTTTGATATATACTTTATAAAAGGAAAAATGCAAACATCAAGAAAATTTTCTGCATTTTAAATCAACCAGATTTAATAAATTGTAAATACATTACTTTTGAATTTTAAAAGAGTACAAAATAATAGTTACAAAGTTTTATACAGATAATTATATTTCTCTGTAAAAAAGATGGTTTACTTAAACATTAAGGATCCCGTGACAACCTTGAATAACTTTTAGAATAAGGTGGAGTACACACACAGAAAGGGAAGATATACATTTCAATATAAAAAAATAAAAATAAAAGTTTCTTACCATTGTGAGAGTAAATGGATGGTTTTCTAATGCAGACACACTGGGACAATGTAGAGTAATATACTAAAAAGCAACAAACAATGTTTAAATGACCAAGGTAGAAGTTCAAATTGTCCAATGATGGCACTAATCTGCTAATTTTCAAAAATTACCTAAGAATAAAAGGCATTTTAAAAGTTGCTGAACAACAACTCACCTGGCCAGGCCTTGCTTTAAAATTTTCTTTGACCATTTGAATCTCCATGACATCTGAGGGGTGACTTATGACCGAGAGGATGGTGACTGGCTTATTACTCCGGATGCATCTGTAAAGTCTTTCAGCACAGTACAGGCACAGAGGTCCAGAAATCCAAAGCCAAGTCTAACAGAGAAGTTTTGAAATGCACTTTAGGAAATAAATATTGTAAGACCCTTTATATCCTGTCCAATTGTTTATTTCACACATTACAGTAACAACAAATATTTATTTTTTAATAAATTAATATTTTAAATAAAATATAAAAAATAACGGATTATTACAGCAACTTACTCAAATAAGAGTAAAGTATAAAATAAAAGGTATAGTAATACCTTTGCCTGGGGTCTAACTACCATTAACAGTTAATCATACATTGTTTCATGTATCCTTCTGTGCACACAACATATATAATGCATCTACACAGTACTTTTCTCTAAAGAGAGATAAAAGGGAAGTTAAAAGCTCAAATAAATCTGAGGATGATTTTTAGAAAAAAAAGTACCAGTCCAATGTTTGTTAAAAATGCACCCTAGATATTTTTACTGCATAATGTATATGCATAATGTACATATACAAAATGTAAAATACAGGGTGTCCCAAAAAAATGTATATACACTTTAATAGTTGATAGCACAATTTTGAAAATGAAATGTGTTTTAACAAACACTGCCTTTAAAATTATTCAAAGTGTGTGTATACATTTTTTGACACCCTATATGTGCATGTATTTTTAAATATGGTATAGGCGAGGCAGGTTGTTTACAACTTACTTTTACATAATAAATCTAATATGAACATCTAAGAAGATAATATGTAGAATTTAGAAAGCGTAACAGTTTTGCTTGTGTGCTGGGGGGATAGCCGTGATCCCAGGATAACTGCATACTCTGGGGAGTGCAGAAGCCTGTGTGGCTGATCTTTCTCCTACAGCTTCGTACTATTCCTCGCTCAGCACTTGGAGGCCTCCAACCCAAACTTACTTTAATGGTCACTTTTTAAAACCTTACTTGCATAGTTATTTCGGACCTTCCTTCTCCTCTGCAGACAGATCGTGCCTCTTCCTGACATTTAGTCTGACACTGTGTGCAAGCATCGCAGGACAAGCTCTGCAATGTGGCAGCAGTCTTGCAACTTTGGGACAGTCCCTTACCCTTTGAGCGTCAAAATAAAATGGGAGTTGCAATATGGGACCTGCCTAACATATAGCATAGAAGTTTGGAAAAGTGTAAAACTTAATAGAAATCTAGAGGGTTATTCATAATAAACACAAGACTAACACACTCATTCCAAAGCCATCAATAAATCACTCTACCTTTTTGACTCCTCTTCTCCTTTTTTTAAAATTAAATTTATTGGGGCAATATCAGTTTATAACATTACATAAATTTCAAGTACTGTATGCAACTTCATCATTCAACTGTGTACTCCATTATGTGCTTCACTACGTGAAGTCTAGTGTCTTCCTGTCACCTTGTATTTGACGACCTTTACCCTGTAAGTTACTTTCTTCTTCTTAAAACAGACCCTCAACATCACTATTTCCCCTACTTCCACTTGGGAAAGACGAAGATTACAGGGTGTGATTCCCGCAGCCACCAGGGGAGATTATGGCCCTTGTCAAACTACTCACTGGCAATTTGGGGAAGTTTTCCAAGAGCAAGCATTTTACTCAAAGACTTGTTTTGCACTCTACCTCTGCCACATATTAGTTTGTAGAGTTTGCTCAAGGGTATTTTATGTATTCAAGCAACAATTTCCTCACCAGAAAACTGAGGATGACAGTAATTGCTTCAAGGAGTTATTGTGACTAAAAAATTACGCCTACAGTACATTTTAGCACAGCGCCTAGCAGATAATATTAAGCAATCAATAATTAAATTTTACCATTTATTATTTATAATATTATACATAATATACTACACTATGATAAATATTATTAGTACTAGTTCTTTCCTATTGTTTATATTATTCCCCCTCTTTTCCTCAATGGATAGGGAGAATATCTTTGTTACCTCTCTTGTGGCAAACACCAGTGCCACAGTATGAAAAGATCATATGGCCGGTTGTATTCTATAATGTCATAGGTTTTTCTCCTTGAACTGTGTCAGCTGCCTATAATGGAACAATAGGGAGTGACTTGCTATTGAAATATCCTAAAATGCTTTGTTCTGTAAGAATAATTGCTTTACATGCCTTCAAAAACATGTTTAAATGCAATGCTGATCAACTGCTATGGGAATATCGACTTTGCAGAGACCATCAAACACAAAAAATTAGTCTGACCTGTGGAAAATTCGCTTGGAACCTGGGCTCTTCCATACAAATCTTCGCAGATGTGTTCTGGGTAACCTCGTCTGGTTTTGAAAACCCTCCACGGAAAGATTCATGAAAATGTTCTGAGAGATTTTCAGGTAAGTGAATATTCCGGGAGAGGGTTCCATTGAGACTGATGCAGCCAGGAGGGTGGGTATCTATGTTAGTCTGATACTTCAACAACCCTCTAAAATTGAATGAAAAAAATAAAAACAGGAAGATGAAAAAAAGATTGAAATCAGGGAACACAGTATAAGAAAATAACCTCTTTTTCTTGTTAACATTACAAGTTAATGTTATCGATCCAAAACGTGTTTCTCATATATCTTACATAAGAGCAGATGAGAAATTTTAATTTTTTAAGTAAATTCTTAAATATTTGACCAATGGAGCTGCCGTTTGACCCAGTGATCCCACTCCTAGGAATATATCCTAAGAATCCTGAAACATTCATCAGGAAGAATATATGCACCCCTATGTTCATAGCAGCACAGTTTACAATAGCTAAGATCTGGAAACAGCCCAAGTGCCCATCAGGAGATGAGTGGATAAAAAAGCTGTGGGACATTCACACCATGGAATACTATGCAGCTATAAAGAAGAAGAATCTCGTACCCTTTGGGACAATATGGAAGGACCTGGAGAAAATTATGCTAAGTGAAATACGCCAGGCAGAGAAACATAAACATCACATGATCTTGCTTATACGTGGAATCTAAAGAACTTAATAAAATGATGAACAGAATAGATTCAATGACATGGAAGCATAGATGAGACTGATGAATGACAGAGGGATGGAGGAGGGCGGGTGGGTGGAGGGGGAGAGAGTAACCAAAGAATTTATGTGCATATATGCACAACCCAAGGACACGGACAATGGTGGGGAGAGGGACTGGAGAAGGGGAAGGGACAGGGCAGAACGGGTCATTGGGGAGAAAAAGGGACATCTGTAATATTTTAAACAAAAATAAAATTTAAAAAAATAAAAATATAAATAAATAAATAAATAAATAAATAATTTTGACTAAACCAAAAATGTAGCCCCCCCCCCCCAAAAAAGCCACAAATGCATGGAAGGGAAAAACACATACAATCTTTCCAAGTATTTTTTAATTTGACAGCCTTTATTTCAAATCTATTAAACGTTCATACAATCATATACAAGTTTTCACTTCAAAAACACTATAATGATGGGTACTTTTGCTATATCTTCAAACACAAATGAAAAAGTACAGGAATCATATTTAATTTGGTTAAGACTAAATAAAGCAGGCCCTGCTGGTTTATAGAGAAATGTTAAATAAACATAATAACAGAAAACTGGAAGCTTGCATCTCTTATGATCTGAAAACAATTAATACATAGTAATCAGACCATCAATCTGTTTGCTTTTCAATTTCTCCATAAACAAGATCACATAAAAGGTTCAGAATAATAAATCAGGGAGGAGAGCCTAAAAACCTAAAATCCAACTCTGATTGCTTCATGTTTTGTGACTTTCTAAGACAAGCCATTCAACTTTCTGTTTTCTGTATTTCTTATCAGTAGGAGTAAAGTAAGATCTACATCACAGGGACAGTGTAGCAAATGATAGGTTGTACAGAACATCTCTTTTTTTTGCATAAGAAGAAAAAGGCAAGATTTTGAAAAGCACTAACAATTTTCAGTGTGTTTTGATTTTAATTTAAAGATATTAAAATTTTTATTTCTAAAATTACTTTCCCTGGTTGGCAATAGTATGTTTTAAAATTACCCTTCATGCTCCTACATAATTAATTTTAGTACATTAATAAAGTATATTTGTAAGTACATCACAGTTACAATGATTTACTAAGATACTGTTCTAAAACAACAAAAACTATACCATAAATAATGATACTAAATAGATCCACATATGAACGTCAGAAAAGCAACAGCCAAGACAGTCACAGTGGAATGCACCACCTATTCAATCCGATCATTCTCCCTTTTCCCCTTTTTGCCATGTTCAGTTTCTTTTCTCTCTTCTTTTTACTTTCTTCCTTATAACCAGTCATCACTGAAGAGCACGTAGTACATGTTAGGAGCATCTAAGTAGTGGGCTGTACTTCATAATACTCATGATAGGCCACACACACATTTTTTTAAGTAATGCAGTAGCCATGGCCTAGGTACAGAATAAATTAATGGATATTGTATACATGTGAGCCAAGTACATAATTCTTCCTAGTGTTCTAATCATATAATACAACTGTTGCGGCATTATGCTTGGAAAACCCATTAACTTGATTCAGCTTCCATTACAAGTAATGATTAGCCCAAACCTGCTGCTCCTTTGGGCCATACTGGGTGGTGGCCGACAGGTGGGTGGGCCAAAAACCTCAGGCATTTATTCTACTGGCCACGATTTGAACAAACATTGGTGTAACGCACTTGGCACTATTCTAGGTGGTTCTTAGAATTTTCAGAGCATACATTTTAAAGAATATGTCTTTAAAATTATATGTCAAGGCCATTAAAATATCTTTATTCTGAAGAATTTTGAATAGGAATGTGAAGTAGATATTATGGATTTGGGGATTGGCAGATAAAACTCAAATATCTCTTTAATCCATTTACTTCATTGTGACCACATTTGTTAAAACTGAGTTATATGTGTGGTTCTTATGATTGTTTTCAATCACTGGTACCTACCTAATTTCAACAGACATAATGCACTTGTCTTTCTTTAGAGTTTAATGTTATTTTTCCAAATACTACAGAGCTTTAAGTAACACGCAGCTCTGTGTCTATATGCCAAGCAATCCTGATCTTCCTTCTTGCCCCACATCGCCCCTGAGCTATTCATATTTTACACTTATTATTTTATTGTTTTGAACCTTATTAATTTAAATGATATAGCATCTGCCTTCAAGAAGCCTACAGTTTAACACATGGCTTTCTGATAGAACTTTCTGTGGTGGTAAAAATGGTCTGAATCTGTGCTGTCCAACACGGGAGCCATGAGTTACATGTGAGTCCTGAGCAACTGAAGTGTGGCCAGTGCAGGCAAAAAACGGAATTTTTCATATTATTTCATTTTAATTCATTAAAATTGAATAGCCACAGCTTAGCTATAATGGGTATAATCAGACATGAAAACAACAATAACCAAAGAGCAAAATGAGCCATGCTGTAAAGACACACAGTGACCTCTGAGGGTGGACAAGATAATGACCGCGGGTCCTGCCGTTCTGGAAAGGGCGCCGTGGGGGAAGGAAGGAGGGACAGAGCCCCAGTGCTCAGAGAACAGGCCACGGCTCTGCGAGATGAGGGAGCAACATGGACAAAGGCACGTGGCCCATTCCCAGATGAGAAGAAGGGGCCTTGTCCTGCCCATTTACCACCGGCCCTATGTCACACTCACTGCCACCCCTCGCTAGCCCTGCGGCCAGTTGCCTGCACGGGGAAACCGTCAGCGCATTTCTAGCGAATAGGCTTTAAAAGCAAATAATAACCACATGATATGTTGGAATGCAGCAAGTATATATAATAGTTAAAATGAAGGGCGCCTTCTGTACATGTGTATTGTATCTTTCATAATGAAATGATATATAACCTGAAAGCAGAAAACAGGAAGGGAAGACGATGTTCGTGAATGGTAAACTGAGTCTTGCCCAGTGAAGGCAATGGCACGGTCGGGAGCAGGGAAAGGAGCTCACAGCGCGTGTGGGAGCAGGGATTTCTTATTCCTAACTTTTTTAGTTATAGTGTACTATGTTACAAAGGAGAGATTTCGAAGTCTCTTTGGAATGTCTAGTGTCCTATCAGGAGAAAGCAAAGATCTTGTGGTGTATAAAATACACGTCTGTGGATGCTATGGTTTTTGCACTCCTAAGGATTTCAAGATGTGCTTTCAACACTCAACAATGTTTCAAAAATAAGTTTTTCTTTTTTGCCTTTTTTTGAAGAGGCATTATAGTTATAGTATCATTTTTTTAATGCCTGGCTGTGATAAAAATCATAAAAAGTACAGTACACAGAATAAATCCTAGTGGTTACAGCATATAAATCATTAAAAATATGTTATGGAAAGAGTAAAATATTACAAAATACTATCCCTGCTGAAAGGAGATTCACAAAATCATCTCCCCTTTAATTGCATGTATAAATTTATAATAAACACAGTGTCATTCATGCTACTTTTATGTTTGTGGTGATTTTAATCCTTTTATTATGTGAAGAAAAAAAATCTTTGTCCCATAAGGAACCTACTTTTTCCCTAGTATTTTATAATCACAAAATGTTTCTATTCTTTACAGAAAAAGATAGCTTGTTTCTCGAAGTTCTTTTTACTTTGCTTCAAGTACAAAAAAAGAGATTAAGAAAATACACTAAAATTCAATATTTCCAAACCGAATGGAATTCAGTGGATTTCTGTATCCACTGGAATGTACACTACTTAAGGTCAAGAATTTGTCCTGTGCCCCTGGTGCCTAGAACTGTGCCTGAAATGGTTCAGTAAATGTTCAGTGAATGAATCAGTGAATGACTGGAAGTGTACAGACAACTTTTTGTGGTGGTTATTATTGAAACACATGATTGAAGAGTCATCTGTTTTTCCTGTTTGCTTCTTTGTTTTGTTTTTTAATTAGGGCATGCTAGAGAGAGGAGGGGAGAGGGAGACAGAGAAACCTCAATGTGAGAGAGAAACATCGACCAGCTGCCTTCCTTATGCACCCAGAACCCGCAGCCCAGGCATGTGCCCTGACTGGGAATCGAACCGGCAACCTTTCAGTGCCCAGGACGCGCTCTAACCAACCGAGGCACTCTGGCTAGGCAAGTCGTCTGGCTTTTACAAACACTGAAGTGATTCTGAACTCATATTCTAACTTCATGTCTAGATTTTGCAAATGGTCTTTAGTAAAATAAAACAAGCACGTACATTCACCTTTGTGGGAAACAGCATTAACTCAGTCTGCAGCTTACATCTCCAATACTGCCAGGTCCAATCTGAGACCTTAGCCCTACCCTGACCCTAGGCCAATTCCAACCTAAGCACACAAGATTTCAGGAGAGTCAATCCTACCTATTAGCAGCATCTAGAAAAGCAAAGAGCTTTCCTAAGCTAGGGATCTAATGTGCCTCAAGAAAACCTTAATCATCTGGGTACCCATCAAACCAAAGCTTCTGCTCTCGTCCCCACTGTTTCTTGCCGCTACATTTTTT